AAAAAAAAAAATCCTGTATGAGTAGGCATAAAAATTATCATCTACCCATGAATAATCGCATTAACCCCAAACAAAAGAAAATAAAAGATAGCAGCAGGTTAAAGCCAATTCAATATTGAAAATCATACGAATTATGGAATTAAATAGTGCCAAATGAACTCGAAAGCTAAATACTTTATTATTTAGAACCTAAAAGACTTAAAAACCATCACAGTGACAAGTTAAAAACTGAAAACTTAGGTCTTTGAAATGGAAAACATAAAGTGTTAATACCATTAAATGACCATATAAATTTACAAAACACAAATTTTAGCCATGTTTTGTAAAAAACATCTTTTTTAGCCATTTTAACATGTGATAATACTAAAATACCCCTTAACTCCATTTTAATTCCACAATTTTTTTTCTTCCCCAAATTCAATATTTCACAACACAATTCCAAAGTATTCACTTCCACTTTCAATCGTGCAAGAAACCAAAAAAAAAAAAGGAGAAGAAGAAGCTTGCGACCTCCTCGCCGGCAATTACTCGCGACGACTTCCGACCTCCGCAGCTCCTCGCCAGCAATCTTCGCAACATTTGACATCCGACCGTGCTCCTCGCTGGCAAAAAATCGGCAGAGGCATGGCTTTGGCAGCGGCGCGACATCTAGACCCACCTGGTGAAAGCGGCGTCTCGATCTCGGCGTTTGGCAGTCTGATACTCTAATCGACGGTGTGGGTTGGCGGATGGTCTAGTGCATGACCGGAGACGGCCAACAGCTTTCAGGTTAGGGTTTTTTGTTGGCATGTTAAATTTTTTTCCGTTGCAATTGTGTAGTAAATGTCTTGGTAATTGCCCGATTCCTTCCATACTACAACTGTTCAAATTTGGCTTTGATAAGATTACAGATCTGAGCTTCGACTAAGCCGTCAATTTTCGAAGCTTCATTTAGAGGCTCTTGGCTTGGCTCGGACGCAGCCCAGATCGGCGGCGAGCCAGACAACGGGCATTCCTTCGGCCTTAAGCTTGAGGATGCTCTCACAGACCTTGGGGTGGCCTTGATGGAGGCGGTGGACGCGAGGGTTGCAAGGTGACTGTAATATTTAAGCTCAAGAAATTTGGAAAGTGGGTGGTCACGAGATTAGTCAAGGAGCATAACCATCCTTTGGTCGTGAATGGTAGTGAGTTTGCAAACGTGGTGTGTTCTTGGTTTATGTTTTTGATTGATTTTTTTTTTTTAATTGTCTGTGCCAATTTTGTTCTATTTTGCTTCTGTTTTGGGGATAAGCTATATATAATCCTTCTTTCATGTGTTCTTTCATTGATAAAATGATTTTCAGCTGGTAAGATTTTGTCACTCAATTTTTTTCCCAAACTTAGAGTAGTCCTGCATTCAGTTCATGATTAGATTAGTTGGATAAAACTGATACTGGCAATGACATTGAAATTCAGTGGCCTAGAATTATTTTATTGATGCAGCAGAAACTGGGAGTTCGTAAATTTGTACATGGATCATATTACATTAATCACACCTGTGTGGATCAATTATCTATATGCATAGGAGAATCTAAAACACCAATCATTGTTTTCCTTCAACTAAGAGCTTCAAGCACAATAGGTTTAGACTAATGCTTTTTTTGTATGTTAATGTGTTCTGTTTGTTTTCTTCTTTGTTCTTCTT